ATATATATATATATATATATATATGTCATTATATTATATAACAGACCTCCTGATCCATACAAATAACGCACTCAGAGTTCATTACTGAGGTTTCTGCATTAATGCCATTATCGTTTGTAATAATATTTGAACAACTCGGTGACCCAACAACTGCAGGAGCTGTCGGAGTCTGAACTTCATCTCTGGTGAGTTCTTTAGATTTGAATACAAATTCCGATCCGTTCTTGGTTATAAATTCTTATGGCGTTCATTATCGCCTTGGGCTTCTCATCTTTAATACCGGCTTCACGAATATACTCGTATGTTATCTTCATTGTGTCATTTGATACTAAAAAAAAAAAAAAAACATAATTTTATTATATTAACAACTTGTGATTGATCTTTATCTCACCGATGTCCATGAGGCGTCCAAAATAAGGCAAATAGTTTAATAGCCCTTCAGATAATAAAATTTGCATCAGAGCCACATCCAAATTGGTTTCGCGGAAGCACTCTGGCATCGAATCCATCAATTGTTGGAATCTCATCAACCCAAATCTTCCTTGAAGAATTTTTCTTGCTCTCTGTCGATGTCCTGAATTGTCTTCACCAGCTTTTGTTTGCGCTCATCCCCTTTCAGAAGCAACTCGATTAAATGAGCTGCAAGCTCCATTCTCATTTCGGACAAATCGTTCTGCAATATTACACACATAAATAAATTACTATTATGATGTATGTTTTATATCTTTTATTACCAGTGTGCTATCATTTTGCATTTTCCTCTTCTCGAGTTCCAGCTTGGTCAGCTCACTCAATTGGGTCTCGACTAGACGTAGTCTCTGTACCAGGCACCAGCTTTCGCAGTCGTTTCTGTTTGCTAATAATTTTAAAAGGCACTCCCTTTGCATTTGTTCATCCCTTTGCAGAATTTCAATCAGCTCATTCTGTCTCGTGTCCCGTTTGCACAGATGAGAATCTATCATTTTACCTGTCTCTAATTCACTGTAGAAAATTAAATAATTAAAACACTAACCATGTGTAGGTGAAGAGAATTTTACAACGGACCTTTCTATGACATGATTTTTAACAGTGTCCAATTCACAACTTCTCCTGGAAAATATTTCTATGTCTCCTTGCAGCAACATTTGTTCCATAGAAAGTAAAACATCTTTTTTTCGCAATTCGTCGTGATTCCTTTCTCTGAAAATCTGCAAAAGCCTTTCCTCTTCTTCATGTTGCAATTGTGAGAATTGTTCATGAAATGATTCGGAATGTTTGATCGCCAGAAGCTGCCTGACGATGTTGTCAGTTCTTATTTCCACTGAGAAAAAAAGTTGAAATAGCTACGTACGTAAATGCATTAAGTAATATTTTAACATTTACCTGCCAGTAGATCATCAACGAACTTTTTTCTATCCTCGTCTTTCAGTTTTTGGAATTTTCGTACCTCCGATTCTAATAGGTCTTGTTGTGCTACCAACTCTTTTAAAAACTGCGAAATGAAAAACATATCATCTCCTATTATCTAATATTAATTAATAATGAAAAAATACACAAACCTTTTCTTTTTTAATCTTTCAGCCTCTCTAATTTCTAACTCTTGTTTAAAATTTCTTCATTCTGTTTCTCGATGCTAAAAAGTCAGCTTGCTTTTGTTCCTGATGAAAATAAATGTTATATATATATATATATATTTATATATACTGTGTGTGTGTTGTAAATTCATTTCAATATTCGGATTCATAAATGATACAATCTAAAATTTTTTAAGTAAACTTCTTTAGACACCTCTGCTACAAATTGGTAAAAAGTGTATATTTATGGACAAATGACAAGGTTAATTTTTCATTTAAATATAGGTGAAAAGTTTATTCCTTAAATTTCCATTACATACTTTCAATGTTAAATAGCTGCCTCTGGAATACTCATCCTTGTACTCTTTTTATATAAATCCCCATCAGCTTCATCTTTTTATATATAATATTATGCTCTAAAATAAAATCACATTTCATAAATCAATCATAATTCAAATATTTTCAATTTCTTATTTAATACTTACTTTCAGCAAAATATTTCCTTATACAATCGACCCCATTTTCGATTACAGCCTTTGGAGGCTCTTTGATTCTATCGCAATCCAAACTAATTACTTTTAAATTTCTACAAATGCATAATTTATAAGGCAATTCTGTTAATTTATCGTTTCCTCGTAGGGAAAGTTCTTGGAGTGTTTGCAAATTTCCAAATTGTCTGGTAAGTTTTTCAGACAGTTTTCGTTCAAATTTAATATTTGTAAATTGTAAAGATCACATATTGCGTTTGGTAGAACTTTTAAACGGTTGTTGTTTAAATATAATTCCTAAAAAAAATACCGATTGTATTAATGCAAAAAAAGAATTTGCTAATGTTATGTTTTCTCGTGAGTATGCGTGTGTGTGTGCATTTGTGTATAAACTTATTTCAGTATTCGTATTCTATTGAAAAAGACCTTTGGGGGCATCCATTAATCACGTGAGGTTTTTAGGGGGAGGGGGGTTTGACAAAAAATCACGAAATATCACGTGGGGGAGGGGTATAGTAAGATATCAAATGTATTTATTTTTTAACTGTTTTTTTTTGCAAATCTAACATTTTCAAACATAAATTACTTCATTCAAAAGTTTTACAGTTTTTTCACATAACTAATACACACTATGTAAATTTTTTGAAATTCCTTAAGCTCGTGCACTACAAATTCATTAAAAATGTTTTTTATAAATAAGTTTTATAATATATTTTCTCACCCTGAGATTAGTTAGCACATTTATTGACTGCGGCAAAGTAACTAATAAATTTTTGTGTAGATCTAAGATGGTTAATAAGTTTAAATCGTTTATTGATCCTCCGTTGTCTAAACTACTAAGACGATTATTGTGCAGGAGTAGAACTTCTTTGCGAAAGACTTTGCACAAAGTGAATATTCCCTGAGGCACTTGTTTTAAATCGCATTCTGATAAATCAAAGACAGGCTCTGGGTTCTCTCTAGCCTAAAAAATAAATAGATAAATGATATAAGTTTTTTATTACAATATAATCATTTTTTTTGTTGTGAAAATCGTTTTCTACTCGTCGAGACCTTCTAAACGATACCCAACAAGCAAGAACAATTTAAAATTTTCTGAAGTGAAACTTCTTTAGACACATCAGCAATAAATTCGTCAAAACTGTACATTTTGTGGACAAATTGCCTAGTTAATATACACAAAATGACAAAATAGACTATAATAATACTATAGTATATTAAATTATACATTACCAGGTATAATTTATGTTCCAAGTTAGCTTTAAGTTCTTTATTTTTCGACGGTGCCATTCCTTTATCGATAGTGCACCCCATTCAATCATTTATAATTTATTTTATTAATATTTTTTTTATCGACTACATTTTTAAAACTTTTGTTATCTATTATAATAATCACATGACCGTAAATAGTGAATAGAAAAACTTATACACATTATTTATTATGTCTTGTTTGTTTTTACATTTTGACAGTTTGCCATTTGACGTTTAGTTCATAGTGTTGCCAGACGAGAAAATGATGGTAAGGCGGGTAATTTAAACTGTTAAAAAATATGACGGTAGAAAATTAGACTTAAATATTTGAAGAGAAAACGAGAATCTTTGTAATGTGGAAAAAAAGGGTAGAAATTGATTTTTGATAAACGCGTATTCTTTCTTCATACAAATAATAATTGATTGCATTTTTTAATCATCATCAAATATCCAGATCTGTAATATTTTCAATGAAATTATGATAAAGTAATATAAAAGTTTGAGTTTTATTTTTGCATTGTTTTCTGCACAAACTGCATTATTCGTGGTTCTAGTTAGTTTTGAAATTTTTTACAGACATTCTGATTAACTGATTGTGGTAATTAATAGTTTTAAATATATATTCAGTTGTTAATAATTTTAAAATATGTGTAAGAATATCTATTCCAAGTTAAAATACATAAATCTATGACATTGCTTTATTATCATGATAATGGTAACTATATACATGAAATGAGCGCAAACACTTTATGACAATAACAATCACACATCAAAAACAAGAACAACAACAACAACAAAATTATCCTAAGACGCTTCATCTTTATAAGTTTCTTCTTTCTTCAAGCGCTTTCTGGCTCTGATGTCTTTCATAGTTTGTTCGATAGATCTCACATCCCTTTTATTCTCACTCGGAACTAGAAAGAGAACAACATTTGGTTTATATAAAGTAAAACAAATGAAGAGTCATTTATATTGTTTACCTATTCCATATGTAGTGTTAGCCATGGTGCTCCTCGCTTTCATATCATCGTTGTTAATTAAATGAGCATACTTGTTTCTATAGTTTGAAGCAGGTTCTTGAATAGGTTCTGTTCGTTCTGGGCTTGGTTCTCGTGCTTTTTCTTCACTCTTTGCAGGTAAGGGAAAGTGCTCTGCTTTGTACACTATGATGTGTCGCTCCTCATCTATGCCTTCGCTTTGCGTAGGCAAACCTGCCACTTCACAAACCTCGTGACTAGAAATTAAATATAATTATGAATGAATAATAAGGAATACATATGTATAGTACAGGGCTTACATAATGCTTCTAAAAATTTTATCCATGGGTTGGAATTCGTATTTTGTTTTTGTATCATCTTTGAGGAACTGGTTGATTTTTTCTTCGACTTTGATTCTGAATTTGCGAAGGTTTTCTTTTTCTGCATTCTGTCGTTTTTCCAGCTCCAATTTTTGCTCTGGAGAAAAAAAATAATTGAAATATTAACCCGATTTGTATTGTTTGCATATGCATTTTTCTTACTTTTGATGGCTTCTTTCTGTTTTTCACTAATTGATGGTGGTTTATCCATCGAATTTAAAATTGAACCCAACAAATCCATGTTTATTTATAAATTGCTTATTATTTATTCAAATTATCAGTTTAATTGATTTATATTATTATTTTTGACAGTTTACTACAGCAGGTTTAGGTTAAAAATGGTTATATGAAAAATTTTATTGTAATAATTTAAAAATATTTCTAAAATTTATTTTTTTCGAGTTAAATAATAAACCGCACATAAATTAGTAGTTAATTTGAGCGATAAAGAGTTATAATTGTTAATAAATATTTATTTTTATATTATTTTGACATACACTTGTTAGTAAAACAAAAATAACACGAAGTTGCAACTTTGTCTATGGATGACGCTAGTGTCACTTTTAACCGCGATTTTCAAATTTCATTTCTATTTCAGTTTGATTTTTATTTATTAAAAACACATGTAATATATTTATTAACTATTATAAATTGAAAGTAATTTATAATATATTCGTGTTTAATATAACACGTATTTAAATTTTAATTCTCAAAAATACTTCAATATTTATTTTTGCATTTTGTATATATATATGTAATATATACATATAATACAAACAATTGAATTTCTAGAGTGCTTTTGACTTCATTATTGGTGAAATCTCCTACATAATAATAATGATTTTTTTAAATTTTGAAATATATAATTAAGAGTATAAATGCATAATGTTCATCAGTAGTTCCGGAAGAAGAGGACATTCCATATCCCCGGAACATTGAGTAAAATATACAAAAAATGTAATAAATAATTTTATGACAAAAGGGATGCATTGAAAATGTATCATGCGATTTGCAGGCCAGCTAGTATATATATATATATATATGTATATGTATATATATATATATATATACAGACCTATTATTTACATCTGTTTAATTTTACGTTCGAGTATTATTATTATTTCTCCTGCAAGATTTTAACTGCCGCCGTTAAAACTTAAATTTCAAACACTGAGGCGTCGAAACGTAACCGAAAACGAAACGAAACGAAACGTGTGCCCGATTCATTTTACCAATTAAACACGAAGAAGAGGAAATTAAATGGCACTCGACCAGAATGGAGCAGAATGGGATCGTTAAATCTCACAAAACAAAACTGTTGTTTGTATTTCGGGATTATTTTTACGACTTTTCTACGGAACATCGGGTCAAATTATACGTAAAATAGGGGATAGGGGATTGAAATCGATTGGTATTGATTCGACTTATCGTTATAACTATAGTGTCAACTGTTTCGTAATAATTTGTTTCGAATCGCATCTTACTCGATTCGAATCGTATCAAGAACGATAAGCTTCTGATTAGTAATTAACAATGTGTCAATTCGAATCATTCGAATCATAATTTCATTTGTATTAAATTTAATTTGTTTCAAATCAACTCGTCAACCGAATCATGAGAACAAATTTGGAAAATGTATATGTGTGCGTATGTGAGCTGATTTTTTGATAAATATTTAGGTTTATAATATAATTCAATTCAGAAATAAATAAATTCCATTGGAACTGAAACAATTTTCGAAATGAACCGCAAGTGAACTAAATGCCAGATGTTGTTCGGAGTGTTCGACATATTTGTAAATATGTCAATTAGTTTTATTTAAATTTGTAAACTTTTATTATAAATACGCGAGCGTTTCAATATAAATACGAGCGAATTAATAAACTCTAGTAGTTCATGTAATATATAATAATGTTGTGGTTAATATAAACAAATATGTACACTTTATTTATTTATATTTTAGTAGGAAATAAATCGAATCGAAGGATTTAGTTTTTTGTATTGATATATTTTTTGTTAGCAACTCATTCGAAATTTATATATATATATATATATATATATATATATATATATATATATATATATATATGTATGTATATATTTAGTTAGCCTCTACTAGGTTTCACAATGATAGAAACACGATATTTGAAATGTTTTCTTTGGTCGAGTTGAAATAAATCTTCAACACAAAAATTGGCAGAACACTTCAAACGAAAAAAATATCACACAACACCTCTAAATACCAATATACACACTATTACTGTATATATTATACATATATAAAACATTTATAAGTGTATATCGTATTCATATTTAATTCTGTTTTCATTCTCGATACATATGCGTTCCTATTTTTTTGGCAGAAAACCGAAATAAAAGGTTCATTGTACTTTCTTTGGATATTCATCCAAGATATAAAATTTAAAATAGTTTATGTGATAATTTCATAATTATTTAATATTAATCGTACGTCAAAATAAACTCACCTATCTTAAGGCTCATACATTTTTTGTCGATTTGCTAATAACAGAGGTAGATATTTCAAGATATCCTTATTATCTCTTTAAAAACGCAACTTGCCACTAGGCAAATCTCAAACACTTTTTCACGTAAGACATGTCGTTGAAAAGAGCTCGAAGATCCAAATTCGAGTTTAGTATTTACTGTTAATTTTATGTTATGGTATAAGATAATTTTGAATCTCAATTTTATCTAAACTTATACTTAATATTTATTTATATTTTGTGGCTTTCAAGTTTAGACACTTACAATATAATAAAATTAATTCTTACTTATAACTTTCTCTAAATCATAAGATAAAAACCTAAAACTATAGCTAAAAGCTTAGGCCATAGATAAAAAAAATTCAAAACTTTACACGATAAATATTCAAATTTTGAGTTTTTAAAACACCATATATCGCTTAGACTATAACTAATTTAGTTAAACTAAGTTATTATATATAATTAAAAAGCTAATTTAATTTCTAAAAATTTTTATATACAATTTTGTAACTTTTGGTACAAAATTTTACACAAAAAATACTTAATCTTGGAATTTTCAACACACCATATTGCATAGACGTGACTATATCTAATTTAGTATATTTGTTTAGTTTTGGCGTTAATATGTTTGTAACTTATTACAACATATATAAACTATTATATATAGTTTAAAACATATAAAATTTGCTAAAATCCTGCATACTCGATTTGGAAATTTTTTGAACAAAATTTGCACGAAAAATTCTTTAAAATTGAAGTTTCAAAACACCATATTGCTTACATTAGATTTGTTCATTCTAAATCCGGAGCATTTTTTAGTTTTTGTGATAATATATTTTTAACTCGTTCCAAAACATATAAAATAATTATATAGTTAAAAAGCTTATTAAATTTGCGAAAATCCTACATACTCGGATTTTTAATCCCCAGAACAAATTTTTGCGCAAAAACATAGACTTTTTTAGTACACCGTATTGCTTATAATTAGACTAGACTATAATTTGATCAAGCTGACTTAGTGCATTTGTTTAGTTTTTGTATTAATATGTTTACGACTTATTCCAACACATATCAATTATAATATATAGTTAAAATTTCTTTTAAATTTTCTAAAATTCTGCACACTCCATTTTATCTTATGTTCATATTTCATTTTACTAGTGAAACATATGCATGTTTAGAAATATCTTTCGCGAAGAATACTTCACCTTTATTATTCTATAAGAATTTGTATTAATTATATATATATATATATATATATATATATATCCACCTTTTTGATGGTTGGTTATTTCTACAATTAGAACTGCCTTAGAGTAAATGAAACAGTTCGTTGGCTATGGAGCTCCTCTTTTCGCATGCAACGAATTCTATTTTGACGCATTTTGTGCTTTGTACTCGCTCTAAGAATACACCTCACTATATATATATATATATATATATATATATATATATATATATATATACACTTGTGTATATTTATGTTTGCTCATGTGTGTATTCGCATATGCACACTTGAAAACACGCAGGATAGAAACACATTTTTCCTACATTGATACGGAGCTCGCTCAATATCTAGATTTAATTAACTTCTCGCAGGTGAAGTTTATGTTTTCGCCAGAAAATCCGATTTGCTAAGTTTATATTTTCTTCTCGACATTTCAAGTCATTCTGAATCGAATAAGACCAACTTTGGAGAGCATATAGAAAGTAAATAATACAGAAATAGAAAAAGTGGAAAGCATAAAATACTTAGGACTGATAATAAATGCAAAACTGACATGGACAGAACATATAAACAAAATAAAAAGAAAGATAGGAACATTAATCGGGGCTTTGAAAAGGATCCACTATTTTATAAAAAAAAATAAGACTAGTGGTGTATGGCATCGTGCCTTAAGGCAAATTGCTAAAACTTCCCATACCGTAATGAAATATTCGAGAAATTTTAAATGTTTTCAAATATATCATAACAAATACTGTAACTTTCATTATTTTTGCTATTTTTTGTTATATCTGAGCAAATCAAATGTAAAACATAAATCAATTTATCTCCAGAACATTAACAATCGTCATTTTATTTCGAATTCAATTTCAAAAAAAATAGTTGCCTAATAATTTACACAAAATTGAAAAAGTGCTTGCGTATAGTCACAGTCTAAACGCATTTGCAAATAATTCTGTGCGGACATACAAAACACACACACATCAATTTCTTCTGAGGTATGCCAGTAAAATATTCAGAAACCTTCAAAACGTCGAGAAATGCAAAAATTTTTATTTTCGATTTTCGGCCCATTACTATAACTTTCCTACGGGAAGTTAATAATTCTTAAAACGCAAATACTACCTATAATTTTACATGGAACAACAACATGGAGCCAAACAACTAAAGCTAACCTATAAATGACATACAGAGAATAATGAATAAAGCCACAAAAATAGCATACAATTTTCCACATATAACACCCACCAGATACTTACAGACAGAAACAAATAATCTTTCACTTAAAAAAATAATATAAATAGAAAAATGCAAATTAATATACAGAATTAAAACAAGTACAACAATAGACACAAATCAATATATATGTATATGAACACTACACTAGACAACACAGCAATTTTCACATTGAACACAATAGAAAGAAATTGAGAGAAAATGTCATATTGAGCGCTAGTAAAATATATAATGAATTGCCAAACGATATTAGGATGATCAATGATGACGATAAATTTAAAAGAAAAATAAAGAAATACTATAAGGAATTTGAAAACTAAGAAGACTGAAGAGTTATATAAAGATAGAGATATTTTAATTATAATAGATGTTATATTAATGAAATGTATATATAGAATATGAAAACTGTTTTCATAATCTCTCATACCAGGCACCTCTGTCTGTCTGAGATATGAAAATAATTGTATAGGATAAATATAAATAAATAAATAAAATAAGATATGAGTGCGTGTGTGTAAGACTTTTGACCCTTTGTCGACGTTACCTCAAAAACAGCTAAGCCGATTTCAAAAAATGAACTTTTTTGAAATCGAAATTTTTTTTCGATCCGGTTAGTGTCGGTTCTCCGCCGCTGACAATGCGTACAAGTTACATAAGACAAGAGAGGAGCGCACCGTCGGACGTCTCCACCGTCTCCACCGTAGAGACTCCTAGTATTTCAAGACGTTGCCACGACAAAGGTGCATCTTCGACATCATCATCAACATTATCGGAGACAATTAATTAAGAATTGAATGAGTGCAGTAATTAAAAAAAATATTAATATCATGTTGTGGAGTGAACTAAAAATAAGTGATGCTTAAGAAATGTTTAACAATATTAAAATACGAGTTAATATTACATTTGATACTTTGTTATTTTTTATTTTGAAAAAAAAAATGTTGATAACAAATCAAAGTTGTGGTGAAATTTTAAAATTACCCTTGATCAAATTATTGCAAATTTTTTTCGTGTATTATTGTTGCACTTGTTGAATGAAATTTGTTAGTTTTTATTAATGAATTGATTATAATAATTTTATAAACAATTTTTCTCTTCAAAAAAATTTAATAACGGCATTCGTAATAATTGAAAATCTGATACACAGTATGTTTTTTACGAGTTCTTATATTTTTAGTATCAGACATTTAAGTTATAATTATTGTCCAAAAATCGAAAATGAAATTTTTTACATATTTTTACATTTCAGAGGCATCTGAACAGTTTGACATTTTAGGAAAAATGGACGAGCGTATATATGTGTGGGTACAATTTTTAGCCGACGTTTTTGGGAGCACCGGTCAACTGATTTGAATTATTTAAAAAACATTCGTTCCTTTTTATAAGGAGACGTGTTGATTCATTTTTTGGCGAAGACAATTAAAAAACATTTTATTTGAATATTTTGATTTTATTTTAATTCTAGCTGAAGTTCTAAAGCTCGTCTATATACTTAAAATAAAGAATTTTGCAATTCAGTTTACATAATTTTTAGAAATATGAGATAAGGTCTTTCATTCTAACTTCGCTTGATCAAGTTTTGTTTATTCATTTTGCATATAAACGTATAAAAACGTCGTCTATAAAATACGAAAAATGAAAGTTGCAGTATTATAAATATCTATTTATGAACATTCAATATAGTCCTCGAATATTTCATTACTGTACGCGAAGTTCCAGCAATTTGTCTTAAGGCAAGATGCCTCACACCACTAGTAAATTTTTAGTGAACATTTCTCATATTCATAGATTTTGTTTTCATGTAATGCATATGAACTAATAGTCATTGTCGTATTTTTTATATATAAAATTTTATCTTTATACTTTATAATAAATGCACAAATTTGTATTATGTTTAAACGTTCTATTATATGTTAAATTGAAGTATATTTGAATATAAAAACATTTGATTTTAACCTAATTAATTCTTATTATCTATTCAATTAATTTGAAAAAGTTACTCTTTCTTTTAAAAATTTGTCTCAAACAATCTACAAGCGGTTTAAAATTGTTTATTTATCTTTTAAGTGAATTCAGTCCCCGTTTTATCGTCCTAATGAAATATTTTCCGAGTCGTTTATAAAATAATCATCTCGTTTTAATGTCGATTTTAATAATAAACTATATCCTCATCTTGATACAAATACAAATAGAAAATGCTAATGCGATCCAATAAAAATGATTTTTATTAGACGAGTATCGTAAAACTTACATTATGGATGAAAATAAACAATCATTAGAAAATTTATTATACGTCATATATAAATATACATACATGCACACGGCTATTGTAGAATAAAAATAGACTTACAGATATATTTAACACCAAACTTTTGAGGTAAAAATTGGGTATGAAAAGCTACCTGAAATTTTTGGGTTAAAATATTTTATGATAATTTATTATTATTATTAACAAAATTGTTTTCATCCAGCTCATAATATAATTTTATGAAAATGCAAAAGTGGTTAAAAATCCCCATAAAACGAACAATAAGTTACCAATAAGACAATTACAAAATGAATGCTTTTATTCATATTTAAATTATTGATTAATTTAATAATAATTCAATTAATAAAATGGTGCTGAAAAGTCGGTGATAGTGATATAAATTAAAAAAAATGGAAAGAAAGGTGTCGATGAGGAGGAGGCCTGTGAAGCAGAAGACATTGGCTTCGAGGCTGAGGAACTACTTGAGGAACTTTATTGCCTTTATGTTCAGTAATGTTGGAATCATTGGACTTGTAGTTTCTTATACGATAGCAGGTAATTCTAAAATATCTAAAAATGTCATGCATAAATTTTTACTCTCCTACCACAGATCTCTATTTAGTAATTTACATTTTTGTAATCGAATCATTTTTATCTTGCTTTCAGTCGGTGAAGATTTTTAACTAAATTTTAATTAATAATTATCTGAGCTTGAATTTAACTTTAAAACAAACATTTTTCTGAATATTTAGAACCAATTTGCTTACAATACACACGACCCTAAATTTTCACCTTCCTACCATATTGTTTAGATTGAATTCGAAAATGATCACAACAACAATACGGTCAAACCAAACTAAATTTTGTCTTTTCGATTGTGATTCAATTTGCTTGTTAGTAGAGTCCCTTTTTATGCCCTTATTTAATTTTCTCGTCAGCAGAGTCCTTTATCATCTAATTTTTGATCTCGCTGTTCAATTTGCTTGTCAGTAGAATTCTCTTTTGATCTTTTACATTGCTATTTATTTTACTCTTCAGTGGAGTCCCTATTTCTTCATTACTGGCGTCTGTAAATAATACATACAGCCCTAAATTTTAACTCCCCTGCAATATTGTTCTGATTAGAGGCCGTCGATTAATCACGTGATCAACCTTTAAGGATTTTTGGACGTCCCTCTCCTCTTATGGTAAAATATTAATAATACTTAAACTAAACATCAGTTGTATTTTACTAAGAAAAAATGCTGAAAGTTCGAATTTTTTTTAAAAAAATTGATTTATTTTTAATTCAGGTGAAAAATAAATACGCTTGATATCTTACTAGATCTTCCCTTCCCACACATAATATTTCACTAATTGAGACTAACAAGATTTACGATTACTGGTGTCTATTATAAATAATATATGATACATGACAGACAATTATATTATTTGTTCAGGAGCGTTCATGTTCATAGCCATCGAAGGCGGGGACGTCCTCCAACTATGGGCAGGGATGACCAGAGCACGAAATTCAGTGGTGGAACGACTCTGGTTGGTGTCCTGTTGCCAACAGAACACCTTCAACGAGACAGTCTTCAGAGATATGTACGTACGTAACATGAATAACATCGAACGTGAATTATTTTACCAACATAAATTTACTTGGTATATCTTTTGCCTGCCAGAGTTTCTTCTGAATTGTTGTCCTACCAGAGAACGGTGGTGACGGCCGCTCGTGGTGGATGGTCGGGTTTTAGCCCTTCGAAACCGGCGAAGAAGGCGCCGCCGCCGCCGCCGTCGTCGTCGTCGTCGTCGTCGCCGAAAGCGACTTCGGCAGCGGCCGGCGGAGGTGCAGGTGCAGTCGGCGAAGCCGCTGGAAACGATGATGCGGGTGCTGGTGGTGCTGGTGGTGCTGGTGGTGCTGATGATGAGCACGAGGAGACCGTGTGGTCGTTTTCTGGGGCGTTCTTGTATTCTTTGACTGTTATTACTACTATAGGTGAGATAATGGACTTAAATAGTAGTCTGTTCGTGGTGTGAGTAGATAGAGTAACACAAATCTAATCAATGATTCCTTTTTTCTCCCTTTTTATTATTCTCATTACCATTAATCCCTTATTTTTTCATACACATTTTATACGTTGTGCAGGCGCTCTTTTTTCTGCAAAGTTAATAATTTAACTTTGCTTGTCGGTCAAACTTTTTTGACAAGTTTGCTTGTCAGTAGAGTCCCTTTTTATTTTTTAATGATGATATTGGGTTTGTTTATCAGTTGATACTACTTTTTTCTATTTTTATTAGTAATATGAAAATTTGGTCGTCAGCAGCATACTTTTTCTATTTTTATTGATTTTATTAACTTCCCGTAGGGTAGTTATAGTAATGGGCCGAAAATCGAAAATGAAAATTTTTGCATTTCTCGACGCTTCGAAGGTTTCTGAATATTTTACTAGCATACCTCAGAAGAAATTAATGTGTGTGTATGTGTGTGTGTGTGTTTTGTATATCTGCATTTTTTCAACCACGTTTTTGGGCGCGTGAAAATGACGCCAAGCTAAGCACAGTATAAGTGAAAATGTCGCACAGAATTATTAGCAAATGCGTTTATACTGTGACTATACTTTTTCTATTTTGTGTAAATTAGGCAACTATTTTTTTTTGAAATTGAATTCGAAATGAAATGACGATTGTTAATGTTCTTTCTGGAGATAAATAGATTTATGATTTACATTTGATTTGCTCAGATATAACAAGATAGCAAAAATAATCAAAGTTACAGTATTTGTAATAATATATTTGAAAACGTTTAAAATTTCTCGAATATTACGGTACGGGAAGTTCCAGCAATTTGCCTTAAAGCACGATGCCATACACCACTAGTTCAAAATTTTTTTACTTGGTAAACGTTACTAATGAAATATCCTGATCGTAAACATGATGAAGAATTATGAGAAGACGATGCTGTAATTTCAGAATATGAGCTTATTCTTGTTTCGTAGAAGGCAGTCATTTGGCAGAATGTGTCCGATACAGTTCACTTTCCTTTTCAGGATCGTACTCAGTAGAGTTTTATCTTCAACCGCTTTCTTCATGTGTTACCTTATCTTCATCAGTACCACATTTCCAATACTCTCCGGATAGTTTTTGCCGGCCTTTCTTAGAGTACATACCTGTGATCCGTACAGAGTATGTAGTATTGTTCATGTTGTGTGTATTATATCTTTTCCAGGTTACGGCAACATCTCTCCTCGCACGGAATGGGGCAAAGTGGCAACAATACTGTACGCCATCGTGGGCATGCCCTTATTTCTTTTATATTTATCGAATATAGGTAATGATAATGATAATGATATTCGTGTCATGTTATTTTGGTGTAATTATTTGATTATTCAGGTGATATATTGGCAAGATGCTTCAAATGGATCTACGCCAAGTGCTGTTTGTGTCGCGTCTGTCCGAGTGTTGCAAGGCGAAGGGCGATGCGCAGGAGGGCGAGCAACGCCGATGCCAACGAATGGAGGGTAAAATTGAAAATCATTTAAATATATATGTATATATATAATTCATTGAAATTGTCTATTATATAATGCTACGTGCAACTAGTTCATTTTTTCTTCCTCAGCTGCGCAATTACTTGGAACGTTCCTCCCAAGCAGGAATGTCTCGTCCTAATCTCTACCTGAACGGCATCGAAATGGAGATGACTTCCCACAGTTCCAAATCGACTTCGGCTTCAACATCGTCCACTTACTGGGACGAAGAACTTGACTTTGATGACGAGGAGTACGAGGATGGCAAAAGGACAGGTTTGGATCGGTACGAAAGGGTTTCTGTCCCCATCACTTTGTGTTTGGCCATAATGGTCGGGTAAGATAAAGGGATAAAGATAAAGGAATCTTACAAAGTAAGAATCTTACTTTGTAGATGCGACATAACATTTCTATGTCATCTGACAATCAGCCCCTTATTTTGTCATTTATTTTTTAGGTATATTATTTTTGGTTCCTGTCTGTTCTCCCGTTGGGAAGATTGGGACAGTGTGGACGGGTCCTATTTCTGTTTTATTTCTCTAAGTTCGATTGGATTTGGTGATATTGTACCAGGGGATAGGTAGATTGATAAAATTTAGTTTTATAAATTATTTTATAAATTTATATTAATTTAATATTCAAATTAAAGAATAACTTCCGAAAAGGGTTTGGAACTTAGTTTCATCCTGTGCGCTATGTATTTGATGTTGGGTATGGCTTTGATTGCCATGTGCTTTAATTTGATGCAGGTAATAATACTTATAATTATAATATATATATATATATATATATATATATATATATAGGGTATCCCAGAACTCAATCTCAAACCGAAACAAAGTGAAAGTATTGACCTTCAGTGTCCTGAAAAAATTAGAAAAAAACTATCCCCATTGTTTGGAAATTATGTGTAATTATAATCATTTTTTGGTTATAGTATTTCATTATGGTTAATTTTAATTTTTAATTTTGTTCATTTAAATTTTGGAACCGTAATCGTGAATAACGTCACTAGTACTATTAGGACCACAGTCGAAAGCAATGATACACTCCAACAAAAAGTTTTAATTGTTGAAAACTTGGGGCAATTGTGTGCTTATTTATCACTATGGTCTTAAAAATGTTATTCACGGCTATGATTCTAAAGTTTAAATGAACGAAATTAATAGAAATTAACCACAATGTCCGACAAACGGTCACAGTTTACCAAAGTCTTAAGATGCACTTATAAGCTCATAATTTCCATATAACGTTGTATAATACGTGTGCGTGACGTTTTTTTTTTTAAAAAAAATCAGGACAGTTAACCCCTAAACTTGCACGCTCGTTATCATTTATATAGGATTAAATTTACAAAAAGATGCTGCCACAAGATATTGCGCCGGGTGTTGTTCTGAAAGGGATAGCATAGGAAAAAAGAAAAGAAAATAGAGTCGATACATGTGTAATATTTATTACTGATAATGTTTTTCACGAAATAGTAATTGTAAATTAGTAAAATAAAAAAGTCGATGGACGTGTAACATTGCATATTTAGCTCTTTTCTGCACTGTGGATCAAAATCCAAAATTAAACTAAAAATTTTGATCAATTTTGATTTTTTTTTGCCGGAACAATATGCTAAAGTTTGTGTTTTTACATTAAAAAAAATTAATTATTTTTGGCCGTTTTTTTTTTTCAAAAAAAAACTGTGCGTTAAGGGGTTAAGGTCAATACTATCACCCCGTTTCGGCTTGACGTAGAGTTCTTGGACACTCTGTATATTATATTTCTAATTTTTAGGAACAAGTGATACACAATATGAGGTCAATAAAAAGAGGAGTCGTGCGACTCTTTCAGTGTAAAAAAAACCAACCGGAGACAGAAGACAATTAAATATAAATATTTATTTATTTAGTTATTAATAATTAGTTAATACGATTCTATTTATTTATTTGTTAAACGAATTTGTTCTTGTTGAATAAATAGTTTTTACATGAAGAAAATTTCTTAACAGGGATTTGCATGAAAAAACTAAATTCTAATAAACATAATAACATGACAATAACATTATTTACATAATAACCGAGTCAGTCCGTTAACAAATATTAATAATAAATTGATGATTTGTATCTGTGCATGTGTTGGTGTGTTAAAATGATGTGGGTTATTACGTTTTCTATATTGTCACTCTGTTTCATTCCGGCCCCTGAGCATTTGCGATCAATTACTTAAAAGGTTAGGTGCATTTTTAATTCATTTTTGTGTTTTCGATTTATGTTATCTTTCACATTTTCCTTTTTTGCTTTTTAAATAGATAAATTAATTTAATCCATCATGAAGTACCAGTGTAATGTTGTGGTTATGGTTATGTTATACCGTTTAAAAGAATTCAATTTCCAATATAGTGTGGGAATTGAGACTTATCATTTTATTTAGAGTAAATTAAGAGTAATTTAAATTGAAGAGTAATTTAAAAAACAATAATTATTTGTAGGTAACCGGCAAATATTAGTATATTAAAAAATTGCAGACATGGGTACAGGACAACGTCTGTCGAGTCATCTAGTTAATTATATTTTATTTAATTAATTTCATTTTGACAACAATAATACATTTACTGTAGATCAAAGGACATCCACTGGCTTATTGTGTACATATTTGTGTCAAAACTGTTCTCTCATCTGCAACACTTTTTCGCTATGTGAAAGCGGTATTTACGACAGTTGTAACTTGTAAGGTAAGGTACAAATAGAATAAGTTAATTGATGTACATGTTGTTTAGCATATATCACGTTTAAATGCATACATAATGTTAGGTATATATACATGTATAATAGAACATGATTTCAAAATTTAATTTCATCTTTAGTGTATATAATTTCATACCAAGTACACAAATTTTTTATTTTTTTTATTTTCTTATAAATTACAATCTGTCTACAAAGATAGACATTGAGTAATTAATTTGACAAATAACATACAATTTCAAAAGGAAAATCCAGAGATTCACTTTATATTAATGTACTAAATTATGACTTAATTAAAATTAGGTATATGTATCCATATAATCACTATGATCTTTCTAAAAGATATTCAAATTCTTTTAAGACTGAATTTATTTGTTTATTTTCTTCAAAACTCCAAATGTAAATAAACAATGACAGGTTATCTGTGATTTTGCCAACACTAGCGCTATCAATTGCCTAATACCCAAAACTATTTATTGATAAGATAACAACCAAACACTATGACAAAAATATAAGATTTGAATTTGAATTTGATTTTGAATATGTTGGTAACGACATAAGCGAGTATAGCTATTAACGGGTAACGATTTATATTGTTTTGGCGCCTTTTTGCCCCCATAAAAGCTTGCGCAGAAACCATGTTAACTCATTTTGTGTTGGGACCTCGTGGTGATACTACACTGAATGGTAAGTCAATTATAATAATTAATATTATTCCAAAACTTCTTTCAAGTAGTTTCTTGAATATATGATTTATGCATGGTGTTTGCTTGTGTTTTGATTTATTTAATTTTATTTAGTGAATTATAAATAAAAAAATGGAACTGTTCATTATTTATATAAATCGATTTATATTATTTTTTCTATTTCAAAATAATTTTTGCCATAGAGTTGATGTTAATGGTTTTGAAATAACACTTCGGCCAAAATTATATTAAAATATAGAAAGTAGTGTACATCCAATGATATAAATAAAAACGGTTTTCAAATTTTTTTTTTAATTATAATACAATAAAATAATAAAAATAAATCAAATGAAAGCGCAAGTACATATATATATATATATATATATATATATATATATATATATATATATATATTTAAGTCTCGTTACATTAAACTATGAATATTGCATAATAATTGTACAAAATCATTTTAATTGAAAATGGCTAATATATTTGACTACAAAGTCAATAATAATGAAAAAATATTAGAATTAGAAAACTATTACAGCATTAAAATTTATATTTGAACTTATGTCGGAATTATTTGCAATTGACTTGTTATAATTATTTAATGTAGTTGTTTAATCAATTTTTAATGTAGTTCGTTTCTTTTCAGATTTTATACAGTGCCAACAGTGCTATGTGCAGTGAGTAATAACTTCGGAGGCTCATTGTGCATTAAACTTTTTTTGATATTAATTGTAACTTAGTTTATTTGGTATTGTGTTAAATGTAATTTTTCATTTACCATTTTGCGTTATTTCGAGTACATGGTACACACTTTTTTTTTAATTTTCGAAAAACGAACGAACGTATTATGATGAAAATTGCGCGTTTGAAGCTACGTTCCTGCCGCCTACCCCCCACGGCAGGTCCAAGTAGTCGGGTTTCACATTTAAATTTAATTTATTAATTGATTAATTTTTGTTTTATATCCCTGAGTGTATGGGCCCCTGCGTTGTTTTTCCCAGAAGCACCGCAACCCCATGCACTTAATTTAATAATTAATATTATTTGTGCTATTATTTTTATAATTATTATTAAATTTAATCTTTTATTGGTTTGCTAAGTGGCCCATGGAAAGAAGTAACTTTTTTATAGATTTATAACATTCAGTTATATTTTTTTAAAAAGTTAATTTAATTACTTTTCGTGTCGCAATGTAATGAACACAATTTCATGAATTAACTTTACTTTTATTGGTCGCACAATGAGTCTCCTGGTAGAGGAATGCTGAATTTATAAGTAGTTAAACTTGGCAATGTTCGTGAGATGGTACGAAACTCTGAGCTATATACAAATCTTTTTAATCTTGATAGAATTAAATAAAATTTTAATTTTAGGTTGAACACAGAAGTTACCGGAGGAATAGATCCTGAAAACACTATTACTATTACTAGAACGTAAGAATGTTTACCAGGACGTTGGTGGTAACCAGTGTACAAGAGTAGGATGGACCACTTTGCAACCAGGAGCGCACACGACCAGGAAAACGTTTGTTATATTCAGATAAGTTTGTTTCTTACCAAGATAAATCACTTTACTAAGTAGGATGGACCACTTTATCATCAGGAGCGCCAGGAGAACGTTATATTAAGATGAGTATCTTACTTCCTAAGATAGATCATAAGATATTAGCTTTTTTGCGATCATTTTCTATATTATTTTGTTATATTAAGATATCTATCTTACTTGCTAAGATAGATCAGAAGATATTAGTTTTTTTGCGATCATTTTCTATATTATTTTGTTATATTAAGATATCTATCTTACTTGCTAAGATAGATAAGAGGATATTAGTTTTTTCGCAATCATTTTCTATATTATTTCATCGGGGCCCCATTTACGTTGTTCATTCTTTATATTTGATTCGTGGACGGATTTATATACATATTATAAATAAGATATATCTTGGGCAAAATCGTGTCATATACAGTGCCAGACAGTGTTGTGTACAGTGCTATATCATGATATATACAGTGCAAAACCTTAATATTCACAATTCAAGATCAAGATATAGTTCAAGATCAAGATACATACAGTGAAACATCAAGATCAAGATCCATACGAGATGAAGATACATACAAGATTAGAACCAACCAGAAAATTGCCTACAAAATTGGAAGACGTACACATGGATATATTATTAAGTTAAAATTAGGCTAGAATACATTAGGCTGGTAGTTCACTATTTTTTATTTTAAAAATGGGTGGGGAAGACGGCAAGGACCTTCCAGTTCGCATAGATTTTGCGTTTTTTCACAATTATTTAAAATTAATTCATATAACAATACTTAATACACAAATTTATGAACTTTATAAGTGCACTCCTCTATAAGCTTCATAGTGCTGGGAACCTATGAAGTTAAAGTATTTACATGGTGGATCTTAGGGGGGTACATCATGTAAATGCTTTTTTTTTCTTTTTTTGCTTTTTTTTCTTGTAAT